ATATAAGATAGGCAGAATTCAGGCAGCAAATAAGATATAGTACGTACACATAAAACTTTTTAAATCTAAAATCTTTTTAAGACAAGAAAAACTCTGTATATATTAATGACTAATTAGACCAGTTTTAACGTATGACTAAATTTTGACGAAACTATCCCATGATAGCACAAATCGTATTCGCTACAACCACGAATTAGAGAACTAATTCGACAAGCAGAATGTAACACAATCCATATGAACCGAGAACGATCAACAATACAAGCATTTGTAAGAAACCTAATTGGATCTCGAATAAGAGGCAGACCTGGAAAGTGGTGGCTAGGTGATCATGAAGAAGATTTAATGAACCTACTCGAGAGCGATTGGAAAAATTTAGCATCGTATCCAGTTAGATGACAAAATTTGTTTGAGGAAGACCTGGTCCACCCAGGACTGTTATGTTAAGAAAGAAGAAGAAGTTACTTTTAAACAGCAGAGAAATGGGAAAATTATATAGTTGGCACGGCTAAACTTCAAAGTATGTAAGAAGTATGTATGAATACAAAAATCACAAATATATGAAAATACTAAAATAGAAAAATTAGAAAATGTTTGATATGCATTGGATGGTATAGTATTAAAGTTTAAAGAATCTTGGCTGTAAATCGGGTCCATACATTACTGGTTTAAAATGGGAACCTCAGGTTTTTGTTGTAATTGAACCAAATCATGACCCTAGCTCCTATATGCTTTACAGTAAAGTAAATCAATGATTTAACATGGAGTTTCACCAAAAGTTTATATTTAAAATTTATGTTTATACAAGAATTTACATTCTGAATCTTTGTGATAACGTTTCTGATAAGCAAAATTTTTCTATTTTACAATCCATACCTTGACCACTTTTATCCATTCAAAGACGAAAACGTGCAGACCAAATTACTGTTTAAAGTGCATTTAATTGTTCATGGTATCACATGTGATAAATTTAATGATCATGGAAAAGTTATTTGCTTAAGTGCACAAGAATGGAGCTGCATACCCGTATAACATTACTTACATTTCAGCTACTGCACAATTAACAAATTGTTCGATTAATTTGTGAAAGTAGAATTTTTATACTCGATGTCGACAGGGTGCCAGTTGCATAATTTGCAAAAAGTGAACACGATATTAAAAAAAAAGAAAATTCAAAATAAATGAACACAAGGTAACCCAGGCTATTGCTAGAAGACATAAAATCAAATACCAGTACCTTGGAGACCAATAACCAAAACTGGTCTAACTCCGAAGAATTGTGAAACGTTGAGATAATAACTCAACAGCAGCAAGAAACTTAGTTGCCTAACGACACACGACTAACGAGTACGTGCAAAGTCTAGGATATAAGCTTGTGGCTTAAGCTCCTTTAACGACTTCCACTGCGAACTACTAAACCTGCTGCAGTTATTGCCAACTGCAAGTCCGTATTGCACATGCACTCGTCTATGACCAAATTTGTCCAAATGGCTTTATGAAAAAATATCTAAGCTTCCAAACATTTGCATAAAGCTACTCCGTACATACGGGTACCTATGCATGAATGTATCTGAATACGCCTGAATGTGATTCGGCTACATAATGACGAAATACTTAGTAAACATGTTATGTTTAATGTATTTGGAGCAAAATCGTATCAGTTGTAAATTTATTTCAATTTATTAATTTTTAATGTAGTTGCTTTTATGATTTCACGAGGCATTTTTCAGTTTTCGATTTTATCTGCTAAACGTGTTTTGGCATAAATTGCCAAACCAAATTGGCGCTTATCGATGTGATGCGACGTGTGCCTTACGTAGTTGATTTATCGCGGAGTTTCGAGCGGATTTGCAATCATTTCCTGTTTTCTTTCCTGTCTCCAAACTCAAATGTTGGAATTATTGCTCTCAATATGGAAGTCAAGGTCAATTGATGACAACAAATGAAGTGAACTATATATTCAATTCATATGTTAACAAAATGTAATGAATATGAAAAGCTGCTAAAGACTTAAAAATCAATAGTTTCCTCATAAAAGTGCATTGTGTATCATCATAAGTATTATGATGATTCCATCGATAAGTATTATTATTCTTATAAATAAGTTTCACACTTAAATATTATGAACTAACGAGAGTACTAACTCCTCATTTATAGAATTACCACATTGCTTTGCTGATATGCTGATTACTTAAGTCACTTCAGTAGTCGGCGAATTTTTATTTACATGACATTTTCCCCGATACTCATCGTACGAGAATCTTTCCATCCGATTTTCCCAGCTAAGACTTACAGGCCTCCTAATGCCTAACTCATGGCTGCGTTACACTAGGTGAGGGGCCTTTCAGGGATTCATGCACCTGGTTATATAGTTTACAGCTTGCAATCTTTAACGTTACCCCATCTTTTTCCTAAGTCAACATTTTCCTTCATTACCGGCCTTTAACTATATCTTTTAAGCACTTGTTAATTTATATTAATGAGTGAACGTTTATATTATAATCAATTTATTTATGCAGCTGAAACTACATTTATAAACTTTTATTAACTTAAATTAATAACATATCACAGAACAAATTAAACATATAATTAATATATTAAATGATTTATATACATTTTATATATTAATTACATAGGCAATTAATAAAAACAAAGATTTTATTAAATTAAATTAAGGTTTTATTATTATTACTTACTTCCTCAGTAACATTGTTTACAGCCATTAAACATTTTTCATCTTAAATGAGCTGATTTATTGATAATGAGCTCATTTATATAAAGGCACTTTGTATGGTAAATCATCCTCATTAGTGGCTGTAATGAGAAAAACCTCGTAAACGAGACAGTGTTAATGTGCTATTAGATGAATTTGGATTTTTAAGTATAATATTATCAACATTAATATTCTTAATATTTTGTCTATTTTGGTCAAATAGCTAGAATCTTTATTGTTCATTACTAAGAGGTTTTTTAGTGGGTTATATCATGTTACCACTGCCTCAGTTAGGCAGTTTTGCTCATTAAGGCAGCTAATGACAATAATTTACCACGCAAGAAAAGAACGAAAATCATAATCGGAGGTTTAGCAAGGTAAAGTTACCAGTCTAGAACCTTTAACAGTTACCTGATGGAGACAACACGGCATGGTAGGCTTTAACATTACACCATGTTATGTCTCTTTAGAAGGTAACCAAAATTTGCATCCTCATGGTTGTAGTTCCAGCCAAAGGACGAAGACGGTAAAGAAGAGCAGGAGGGGAGGGCACTCATGGCAAAACTGACAAAACTGGTTGGTAAAATTGATTTTGAATGCTGAACAAAGCGCATTTCATTAAATATTGTGACTATTGATCGCGTTATATGATCTGATTTCGTTTTAGTATAGCACAGCGGAAATAAATAAATATTGTAACTACAGATCGCTTTATATGATCTGACTAAGTTTCAGTATCGCTCAGCGGAAATACAACAACACTGGAGATCGCTTTGCAAATACTTGATGATGCTGAACCTGTGAAGCAAGCTATTTCATATATAAATATATTATTAGCTAGTTCTTTATTTCTCCCTCTCATCACTTTATTTTTTTTTATATAATACAGTTACTCTATTAGATTAATTATAAGTTAGCTCCATGATTGTAATTAGAAAATCTGGAAAAATACAAATATAAGAATTGAATTAAACAAGAAAGGATTTGTTTCTAAATTAACTTGGCATAGCAAGAATATCAGCAGTCATTGAATCGGAGAATCAAACTCAAGTTGTAAGTATAAATTTTCTTGTAGGAACCTTGGCTGCGGCTGAACTATCTCAGCTATAGATAGCCCCACGTAAAGGGGTTCATTAGACTACACTATATCAAAGAAAAGTACGTCGATTTACTACTCAGAGTTAAGGTGCAATAACAAAAACAAAACAAAGTACATGAGGGTTAGAAGGACAACACATAAGCGAATTTCAGAACCCATTCAAGTTGTTGAATTTACTTTTAAAGAAGTTAAAAGTGCAAAATACCTGGATGTCCTCATTAATAGGGGGGACACCCCAGGGGCGGAACTTTGAATTTGACAACAGCAGATGAAAACCAAATCAGAGCTTTCGAAAGGAAGGCACTAGGAAACATTTATGGTCATATCTGCTGTAACCGCAAAAAACTGCGTCCGTGCAAAAAAATTTCGCAAAGTCGTAGGGCTTAAAATGGTTTGGACACGTCATGGGAATGCCAGATAATAGACTACAATAGCAAATACTTCACTCCACGCCGTATGGCTCGACAACATGATCGACAACATCAGAGAAATGGGTATCCAAAATTGAAGGTCTAAAACAACATGCAAAGCAGAAAAGAGAAGCTGGTTGATACAGCTTAATCTCACACCGACCTATAGAGGTGATGATGATAACAATAACTTTGGTTAAGCATTTTGTTAAGCATTTTGTATCATTTGATTTGATTTGGTGCTGCTCAAAACCAATAAGCAATTGATATATCTTGTAACTGATTTATCTAGCTATTAATGCTTGCAAAATCATAGCCGAGTCCACTGCTATATCATCATTTCAAAATTTGTCATATTACCAGCAGTTTAAACCAATCATTTTTAAATAGAAACAAAAATGGGTCCAGTTTTTTATTGCGGATGATGAGTTGTATATGAGTGATGATAAGATTAAAGAGCCAAGAAGAATACATATTTGAAGATATAGAAATATTTTAAATTTTTAAGATAAGCCTTGAGATCAGCATGATTATAAAATACAATTATATGGAAATATTAATATTACAGAGTTATTCATTTTATGGATTTACAAGTATATATAGAAATGCAACACACTTGAGGATGTGATTTCCATGATATTTTTATTTCAATATATCGTGGAGCCTTAATCGTCCAGAGTTTGATAACTGCCGTGTAAACACAAAAAAAAAACAAAATAAATATATGTATATGGTTCTTAAGATTTATATCCAATAAAATTTATTTAAAATGTTTAATTTAATATAGTTTTTGTATATTAATATAATATAGTCCTACAACAAAATATGAAATATAGTTTTCATCATTCAATGTCTTGTCTGTTGCATTTGTTCGGTAATTGGGAAACTGTGCTCGGAATCAATTTACAGTATAACGTTATTCTATTAGTGCAATTTAGTAGTAAAATGTTAAATTTCAATAGGATACCTGTGAGACCTTACATCAAGCAAGCTTGTACTTTCCTTTTGTATAAATTATTTCTCCGTTTTTTACACCTTCACTTAAGCACTTCTTTAAAGCATAAAGACGACGATTAGTTAATGAAACTTGGAAATAAAGAAAATAAGCCTCAATATTCTGCATAGAAACTCCATCTTTCTCGGTAGGTACATACAAGTCAGCCAGTGCTTCATACAGCATCTTGGAAGTTTTCACCGCAGCTCCCTTTTGAGCCTTTTTTGGTACGCGATTGTTTTGCTTTTTGATAACGGCCGCAGCTTTGGGCTTTTTGACACGATTCTTCTTCACAATTGCTTCAGTTTCCTTAGTCGTTGCTGCTTTGGGCTTTTTGATGCGGTTTTTCTTGACAGCTGTTTCAGAGCCAGTTTCCTTAGTCACTGCTGCAAAAGGAGATTCTCCAGTTCCAGTTTGCTTCCGTTTTTGCTTTTTGATAATGGCCGCAGCTTTCTGCTTTTTGATGGGATTCTTCTTCACAATTGCTTTAGTTTCAGTTTCCTTAGCTGTTGCAGTAAAAGAAGATTCTCCGGCTTTGTTAGTTTTTATTTCTGGTTCAGACTTCTTACCGCGACACAACTTCTGCACTGCAACCCCTTCAGTGTCACCGGTTACTGGTCTAATGCACCGCTTCTTACATGCTGGTCCCAATTGATGCCCATTAGCAGCCAAACGCTTAATTGGTCCCTTTAATTTTAATAAATGAATGATATATTAGTGCCTTTAAGAAAAATTAACTCACTTGTGTATTTTCAATCTGCGGGGTCGGTTGCTTCCGAACCTTAGCAGCGAACTGACGATTTTGTATTGCTGGTATTCTAGGCTTTTTAAACGGAATTTGAATTACCGAACTCATCGCAACTAATTTTAAGTTGAATATATTAATTAGCAAATACAGAAATTTTCAAATACAGAATTATTCAAAAATTTTCTCTCCATAAAATATATAATTCAAGCTCAAAAAAAAAATATCTGATAGAAAAAGAATTTCAACATAAACCAATTATATAGAATTTTTTTAGTTTCAAAGCCTACTCATAAAATTAAAATTCTAAAATCATGTAATTTTAAAACTAACTTTTTAAAGTGACGTTATCTGAATGTAATAAATTCCGAAATTTATTAGTCGATTTTTATTGATGTATCTATCAAGAGAAGAATGAGACTTATTACTTAACAAATTGCGATCGGAAAACTTGTCATCCCTAAGCAATTGGTCTAACACGTACTCAGCGTATATTCTACGGTTTCCATGATCTATATTTTTTATATGTGAAACTTTATATCAAACAGATGATGATTTATATGACATTTCTACTTAATATATGTCACCGAAATATATATGCCAATCAGGATTACAAAATATATGTACAATTATTATAGAAGATTATTGTATTTGTAAAAATTTACATATAAAATAAATTATCTATACCTATGTAGAGCGCAACTATAATCTTGTTACCAAGTACAGAATAATCCATTTGAACTACACGCAACTACAAGTTTCTATTTCTGAACCGGTGACAGCACATCGTTCAAATATCGTCTACTGATCTTATTATTGGTATGCATGTACAATAGAATAATAAAAGTTTCAGTTTTCAAGAAAAAATGTTGCTGGTTATGGGATTTCTTCAAAACAGTGTAATGAAGCTATACGGTAGCAAAATCACAAGTAGCCTTCCAACATCTAAATAGTATTAACTCCATTATGTCTTGATACAGAGCTTATTTCAGCTAAAAATACTGCTTATATGACAGCAGAAAATTTAGAAAGTTGAAGGTGGAATTGAACAAAATTCAGAGTAAAACCCTTCAATCTTCAAAAAGACGAGTTGCAAAATCATTAAAATATTCAAGTGTTCATTTAAACTCTTCTTTCTGAATGTATAAAGATTCTAAAGGTTCATATTCCTACAGTGATCGATATGTTTATTGACACATACATAATCCTAGTTTGTACCAAACTAAAGTATTCTGAAATGTTTCAATTCAATTGGTAAACTCTTTATTTCGCTATATAACCAATAAAGGCACAGATCAGCCCACATAAATACTACCCAACTATTACTATTTTTAAGCATATTTCGTATATAGGTATATAGTAGTGCTTCTATAGCTTTTATTTCACGACAAGAAAAACGAACTTACCAATTTGTTCGTTTTCTTAAATAACTTACCGAAAACAGAACACCTTGATCAGCTTACGAAACTCGATGCCAATTCAATAACGCTTCCCATACTTGTTCTTGCCATTTACGGAAGAAGAGGGATATATGATTATTTTTCGCAAAAGGCAAATAGGAATTTGTCAAATTAACTTGGTTAAGCAGTCACATGCGGCATAATGTACAGATTTCATATCTAGAAATTTGGACTTGATCCACAAGAACGGGTAGAAGTATGTAAATATATAGGCTCTTACATAACACTGGACTAAAGCAAGACATGTCATCATATTGGTCGTGCGTTATTGAAACTATTGTAGATCAGGTTTATAAGCAAAGGTGATGGATTGAAACTTATGTGACAGTCCGGTTTCATACAAATTCAAGTTCAGGCATATACGACCCCTTTTCTTCAATTCTTATAATATAAGAATATATAATATTTCTTTTATATTATATAATTTCTATATTTGAATTTCTGTCATATATTTATATAATATTTCTACAACAGATATAAATCAAGTATTTCATTTTGCCAACCTGTCCACCTGGTTGAATAATACTTTTCCCCCTAAAGAGAATCTATGCTACATAGAATAACCCATATCCCCACTTCTTTTTATGTGTATTCATATATGCACCAGTCATAACACATCATTGATATCACGACTCAACAGGGACCACCGTTTTTCTGGGCTAGAACACCCAACAGTTGATCTCTACTAAGCTAATGGTTAGAATGGGAAGAGGAGGAAAAGGGGAAGGGGTAGAGGAAGGTTTCCAGCTAATTTTGAATTTCCAGCTTGCTTTTCAAACTACAGTTTCTATAGAAAAATTTTTTTATTATTATAAACGTTGCCGTGAGAGGAAAAATAATTAATTATTTTTTAAATATAAGGCAATAACATTATTTAGTAATCCACTGATTAACTTTGGCTTCTAAAACAACCGTTTATTGAATAAGTATGAATTGTTTACACTTTCCATGCCACAAATGTCCAAAAATGTATTAACCAGGAAACCAATTTGGTCAATGTGCGATGTTTGTTGATTGATTTACAAGTTTTTGTATCTTTTTGTGTTAATGACAATACTTTTCGGTTGTTTTTTGATAGGTAGTTTAAATCACTGAAAATTGGTAATGTTTTAATTGAAAAGACGTTATCGTTTAAGCAAGGTTAGATTACCGTTACTCTACAAGTTATTTACGTTAAAGGCTTTTCGGTGTTTTTGTGGCTGTGATGCCTGAATTCTGAAGTAGTGATGCAAAAACAAGACCGTGGATCTATGCTAAGTGAGGTTATGTGCTTTAGCTACTTATCACTTCTCTAATTAATCATTTGATTTTAAGATCAATCTATTCCGATGGACATATATGGTTTAACAGCAAACAAATGATTGCACAAATGATAGCCACAAAAACCAGTTACACTCAATTAAACTCTTTTTTTCTGCAGTTAGGAGTAATTAATTTTTAAAAGTAACAATAATGATTTATTTATCATTGAAAGAATTCAATTTAAATTTTTTGTTCTCAAAGTTACTAATTTTTTCAAGCCATTTACTTAGCCATTGCTTAATCAGCTTAATTATTTATTAATTTATTTCGAAAACGTGTCTCCGCATTATCCGCAAAGCCGAGATCAGTATCAGCGATTTTTGTATACGGAATGTCGAACTTCGTGGTAATTAATGTTTTTCCTTTTAAGAAGTATTTATTCAGTGCTCAGTGCTTCCAATTCGCTTTGTGTGAAAGGAAACTAGTGCACCAATGGCTATTAACGGATTTTGAGACTGCAGAAAAGAATAAATTAAACACATTAACAAAGTAATTAATTGGTAACATTATATATATATATATATATTGAATATATCTGCAAATGCAAATTAGATTTTAAATTATGAGAAATCAATATGCTAGACACAACATTAAACAGTCGGTAGTTCGAATTTGAATTGGCTGGGCAAGTTCAAGTATTCGTTGAACGAAATTGGACTCATTAATGTAAAATAAGTAGAAAAATAATAAAATAACATTTTAAGTTGTATGAAAAAGTGGGTTTTACCTGTAGTAAAAATCTTTCAAAAAGTTAATAAATTTTTACGTCTTAATGTCTTGTAACTGTGATCAGTTATTATGGGTTTGGAGTACATATGCTAAGGATTTGCACTGGTTTTCACCAAAATTTTTTAATTACTTCACTTACAACTAATGTCAACATTAGTAACATGTAATGTATGAGGTTACAACTACAAAGTAATATAAAACAGTCCACTCTACATAATTTTATCAATAGCAAAAATTTTTGAAAATTACATTTAAGTTTAAGGTAGTGATGTCTTCTAATCACGATTTGCACTAGCCTAGTAAGTACACTACTCCAATTTTATGTGCAAGGCAGTCTAAAATACTTAACTTAACAGTCAAGCATTATATATTAGATATAAAGTAGAAAGAAATCCATTATTTTCAAAATAGCTGGTTTTAGTTATCTGTATTATCTGTATCTGTTGTATAGATTTGATCAAGTTACGCTAGATAGCGGTAGAAAGCTGAGATTTCGTACCAAATAAAGGTTTTGACAGTTTGGTAATTGGTTGTCAAAGAAGAACACTAGTCACACGACAAAACGCCGTATTTTAAAGTTTTTCTTTGATAAATGTGAAAACGCAAGCCACTTGGCTTGACATGTAATTAATGTTTGTAGCCCTCATACTGTAATAGATAATTATGCGCAATTTGCTTTCGTTGAATTCATTCCGGTAATGTCGATGACAAAGATCCACCAAGTACTGGAAGGCCAATTGTCAATAAGGTCATGGAAATTGTCGAGTCCGATAAGTGATCGTCATGTAAGCATTGTTTCGATTGGTAAAAGCTAAAGATTGCTCAAAAACCATTTGGAATAATCTCGATGTATGGATGCCATACGAGTTAACGTATAAAAACACCACGGACCAAATTTCTATCTGTGAATTGCTGCTGGATTGCAACAAAATAAACCGATTTCTGAAGTAGTTGATGACTGGTGCCGAAAAGTAGTGACTGATCACTAACGACAACGTCAAGCGAAACCGGTCGTGGTTGAATCACGTTGAGCCGGCTGAAACGTTGACGGTATTAATAGCCGTGATTGACGATCATGAGGATTTTGTTGTATGTTTGATGAGATTGGCAGTAAATTATCTACTAAAAGCTACTCACCTACGGCAAAATACTTAACTCGAAACTTTACTGTCAACAATTGGATTTCCTTCCGTGTGATGGAAGCAATCGTCCAGAACAGAAACTGCCTGCTTTGGCCAAAAGGAGAGAAATTATCAGGACAGCACCAAAAGCACCGGGAACTTGGTTGGTAAGTTCTTATGCATCCACCTTATAGTCTAGATCTGGCACCTAGTGACTACCATCTGTTCCTGTCCATGGCAAACAATGGACGATTTTTTTGGTGGAAAATTCGCTTCAAGAGTGGCTTGTAAACATCGAGTGTCTCAATTTTTTGAGAGTACGGACAAAGACTTTTAAGAAAAAGACAATAAAATTACTTTCAAAATGGCAACACATTATTTAACAAAACAGCGCACACTGCAAATATAATGGACTCCTTTTCACTACACTTGTTATATTATATTATTCTAATACTATTATTATTATTGTTTAGTGTATCTAAAGAAGATACTATTAACAAAATTAGTTATAGGTTGGGTTAGGTTGTACCGGCGATCCAAAGGTATTTACTTAGGGTTATAGGCTCATTGTGTTATCGTAAAAGGAAAATCTCAGAGATTTCAAACCACCTTGAACCTTTGGCAAAGCTTATAACATAAACAGTTATAACAATCTTCATACTTTTCCACAATTTGTGGTCAAGTATCATTACTTATCATTTTATTTGTGGTATATTTACACTAATACATACACTTATGTATATATGTATATAGATATAAATGTACTGTATAAATAATTTAAACTAAGATTAAAAACGATGACTTCATGCAATTTTTTTCGTTGTTGGAACTAAAATGTTCGAAATGAACTAAAACAAATAATCGTTTAAACGAAATATGTAGCTCAGTTGATTCGAAACTAATGCTCTAAATCGCTGAATGTGATAATTTTTTCACAAAATAACGAATTTTCAAATTCAACAAAAAATAATTAAAAAGGCGAAACATTAGTACAAGAATTGAGCTTAGCCGCGGCTACGTGATTTTGCCGATTTTGGCAAGTGCCGCAAAGGCGTGTTTCGCATTTGCTGCTTTGTGGTTCAAGGAACAGCACAATTGTTACCAAACACTTAAAAGGAGAAACAAATCGAACGGAAGAAAAAACACCGTAAAAACTGAAAATATCTCAAGATCTGTTGGGCTTTGTTTTAGCACGTTTTCATTTGCTTTTGACGTTTTGCACAATTTCTGTATCTAAACTTTTTATCTCAGTTTGAACTTAACATAGCGAAAAACTGAATTTTGTACTTCGCGCCATGATTTATTTTGTAAGAGCATCGAAAGGTATTTGGTGGGCCTTTTCGGTGAGTCACCCTCTACCCGTATCAGCTGAAGTAGCTGCGTGCGAATCTGGTGCAAATGAGTCGAACGATTCAATTTTAATTAAAAATACATTTTTAATTAAAGTCGATTTTATGAAAGTTAATTAGCAGAAAAATTAAGTGTTTCTATGTAAATTTTGACACTAATACTCGATAAATGAATGCTTGCTGGCTTGGCTCATATGACAATTATTTTGCTTTAATCTTAGAAAGGTTGTAAGACTTTGAACAACAAACAGTCAAAGCGCTAAGCTCAAAAGAAAAGTAATTATAACAGCTCCAAGATACAGCGAAAGGTACTTCGGGGCGACCTTGTTGTATGACATGACAAAATTCGACTGCTGAAAATCAAGCATGAAATCAGTTCAAGTTCAATCACATCATCAAAATATTTCTCAAATTGATTTTTGTTCCAACAGAAACCAAAACCGAAATCGAAAACGAATACGAATACGAAAACGTTATGTCAGTAAATCGATTTTGCTGTGTACGGAATTTGTGCGTATTTAGAGCAAACAGTCGTAAATGGGCGCACTTTGACCACAAACAATGGAAATGTGGAAATAATTAAAAATTATTAAGAAGTAAAAGACAAAACAGCGCCTGCCCTTGAGTACACAATACAGCCGAAAAAGATCATTTAAATTGTTTCAGATACTTTCGAGTACAAGAAAAAGGCGGTGGCTGCAGGCGCACAACGTGCGTAGCTCGAAATTGAATTTTGGTTTTCGTGAAGCATCTCAGATACATTTTATTTTAATTAAAATCAAACTCGAACTTAAAGATTCTAATTTACAATCAATCGAATTTTCATTAAATGACTGTATTGAATACTTTGGTATAATTCTTAATATATTGTAAAGCTTGTGAACCAATTAATTACAGAAGAAGACTCCATTCACAGCATTCCCAGCTAAGGCCATTACTTCCAACAATTTTTAATTCGAATTAACAAATGTTAATTAAAATTAAATTCTTCCACTAAAAATGGCTCAAGAACAATATAATTAATAAATTAGACACATTTCCACAATAACTTACAGAATTCAAATTTTTTTGGTTAATTTAATTAAAGCTGCTTTACAATGAAAAATAGTATTATTTTTTTTTGTGTGAAGAGAAGGTTTAAAAATACCTGACGCATCGTCGTCACAATAGTGGTGTGCCCGGTTTGCACGAACTAAAAACAATCCCCCTCATCTGTCAGACCGTTTCTAACTTGGAAGGAAGAAAGTATAATAGTGAGGAAACTTTTAAATGCAGAAATTTAATTTATAATCAAGTGAGTTTTTGGCTTATTGAAAAGGGGTAGTGCACTGCGATCTAAAACATCGATTGTGCCTCTTAGTCAAATTAGAGTGTTTCGGACTTGGATAAAAACTCCAATCCAATTAAGGGACACAATTAATCTTTTAGATCGCACTACACTACCCCTGTTCACAATAATAATAATAAAGAGTTATAAAGAGTTCAAAAGTTATTGAAATACGAACTAAGATTAAAGTAAATTAAGTTTATAGGTTGACTTTGGGTGTTAACACGCAAATTTACGTTTTAAATTTGACCGGGTTCAACTTTTGAAGCTTGTAATCAAAAATTATGAACGAACAAATAAACTAATAGATATATTCAGATACCACTGATGATGAATATCTAACTATATTCAGAATAGCTGTGTGAGCAAACAAGTGTTCACTTAACTAAAGCTTAAGCAACTTTTATATATTTATAAATATATGAAAATATAAAAATTTCCTCACTATTATCCTCTATTTGAAATAGATTTCTTGTCATAAGATAAAAAATAAATTTTATGTAGAAATTAATAGATCCGTAGTACAAACGAACTCCGTTTTATATATCCGAAACTGTTGAATTAATTTTTTTGATACATACTTGTGATAGGAGGCTTAGAAGTTCCGTTTTATTTCCATTTAAAAATTATTTAAATTCACCATATAAGAATTAAGTTTATAAACTTTAATAAAATAAATAAAATGTTGTTTTTAAATTTTGTAAAAATTTCATTAATAAACAATCATGCCTACTATATTAAATAATAGTATACCATTACGTTATAATACTAGACTCGTTTGTTTACTTTAATATATTTTTTAAAGAATAATGTATTTATTTTTTATATATATATTAACCAAAAGTCAAAATACCGCAAGTCTTCTCAAAAAAATTACAAATAGCAATTGTTTTATGAACCACAATATGGCAGATCAGATTAAATTGCTGTAAATCAATATATCAAAAAGGTCAATTTTCCAAATTGGGTACTACAAATGTAAACATTTTTGATAAACTGATTGCCCATGCTAACACAGTGAATAATCTAGCTATAGCTCTTAATGTAAAACTACGACGTACAGCACATATGAAAATAAAGAAAGCAGATTTGAAATTAAGGGAAATGGAATGGCTCACTGTGCGGAATTCGAAATTAATTTCACATAACAAGATTCTCCTATAAAATAACATCTTAAAATCGTTCTGAGATTATGGAACACAGCAATGGAGATACGACCGTAAACGAAACCTAAATTTAGTCCTAGGCTCTTAAAATTAAGCTTATCGAGGTATTATCATAGCACTATGGTATATGCTGATATATACATGTGTATATGTATGCATATATATACATATATATATATATATATATATCAACGAATCAATTACGGTTTTGGGCTATTTGGTTAATGAACACTGACTGTGAGCTTTACATTTGGCAGGCTACGTGTTGGTATTTGTAGTCTCAAAAAATGCTCAGCCACAAATTCAATTAATTAAATAATATAAAAAATTTTTTGTTGATGTAGTTCACTACTTTTCGAAACCTCTCAATATATAATATATATGTAATATACTTATATAATAAAATGATAGTTAAAGGAGATTTTAAGAACAAGAAAATCAGGATTCTATAGGCTTTATTTCTTTGAAAGGCATTTAGATGCTTCCTATACCACGTATATGCTTTCTGACTTAAATAAGCTTAGATTTCTAAGTACTCAGCCTCTTTTTCTTAACTTTCTTCCCTTTAATTACTGGAATGAAGTTTCACACACTGCTTTCAGAGCCAGTAGTGGAAGTTTTTAAAGTCTGACACTTACCACCTACCGAAAAAAAAATACGATTGCGACGTAAGACATCCCACCGTCATCTTGTAGTTTTGCTTTTTTCAATAAAAAAATACATTATTTTCTTGTCATCTTGTTGTATAAAAAAAATTACTAAAATGAAACAACTCGTTAGTTAAGTAACTAGTAGTGGCGGTATTAAAGTTTATAAACTTTTAAAACATTATGATAATATAATGTTTGAGTTACAAAAAAATAAATTATATCTTAATCTCAGTTCGAGACACAATTATGCGATTTTAAAATGATTCAATAAACTATGGTTAATGTGCAGTTGATATAGATTCTTTTACCCATGTTTATTTCTTACATTATTCCGGTTTGCAGTATAAATAATATTTTCGGACTTGTTTTATACCTCAAGAGTACAAGAATATAAGTATAAGAATATAAAACCAGTAAGATAATGTCCAAAGAAGGTACTGATATTGTCAGCAAAATACATATATATTAATTTATAACAGTATACAGACCAGTACGGATCTAATATCATAAAGAAAAGAAAGTAAAAGTAGTTACTTTTTAATTAACAACAATATTCTCAAATTTGTCACTGTTTAAAAATATAAATAGATTTTTAATTAACTAAGCAAAATTAAATTAATATACGATTTAAAAATTTAACATGACTCATCTGGTAAATTGTGTGATTAAAACATTTCTGATTCAAAAATAGTGCTTTTGATATTAAACTGAACGGTTTTTCTATTTGTTGTACTAAATTACAAAAGTTTTTTAGAATGTTTATTAGAACATTAAATCAATAAAAAGAAAATTGATATATTTAAGTTTTAAAGCATTCACTAAGAATTAGGGCTTTGTTTCTGTTTGGAATCTACGAACTAATGTGTCCGGAGAACATCTCAAACGTAGACTTCTAAAAACTTAATTTTTAATTTTCTTATAATATGAAGAATTTTCATATCTTCAAAATTTTAAGCTCTCAGCAGAATTAAGAGTACAAATTTGATACATTTTACTATGAAAGCCCAGGAACTAATAAGTCTGACCAGCATTCCAAATATATAAAAGACCTTCAGAACATAATTTTGTTTAACTTTAAGCTTTTTATGATTAGGTTTGCATGACCGCCACTAAAACCAATCACCAAAGAATACCACACATATTGACTCTATAACCTCTCTATAACGAAGTCGTAGGTTTTTGCGAAAAACTTCTTTATAGAGAGGTCTTCGTTATAGGGAGGTTCGCTATAGAGAGGTTTGACTGTATATTACAAGACACATTATAATCTTCAAGAGTTACAGGGCAATTCTAGCGAATAACGTTAAAATTCTTTCGTATGATCTTTGTAAAATCAACCAAAAGATCGTTTGTAAAATTTTTGCTATTCTGACACAAAAGCCTTATTGCATTTTAATACAAATGTGATAAAGGTTGCTAGATGTATGATCCACTATTGTTATTATTTATATATAAATAACTATTTACTGAATTTAACTCATGTCAAGAAATGGTAGTAGCTATTGCGACATGCTTAACAGAGCAGTGGCAAAATAAAGTAATTAGTTTTAAAATTATAGCTTTAATATCTGCTTATTTTTCTTGGTGCTCAAAACTTCAGCTTCTGGAGCCTTGTTATTGTCACGGTCTCATAATCATATCATAGTTATAAAGCCATGCCCTCAGCATATTGTTCAATGACAATACCTGAACCACAGTGATGGTGGTGGCGACAAAGCTCCAGAAAGTGGAGTTTTAAACACAAAGAAAAATATGCAAATAGATCAATAAAGATTAATAAATATTATAATTTAAATTTGTAAAATAAATATATATACATTATATAAAAATATATAAAATATATATTTTAAAATTTTCATATAGACAGTATACTTTTTCAATACAATTATGTTTGTGCCGTATAAAAAATGAAGTTAGATATAATGTTTCCATTTTCACAAATTAAATTAATTAATTAATTATTAATTTTTCTTCATGTTTTTATCTATTTTATTTTATATACAAAAAATTTTGTACACAAAAAACACTTACAAAATCTTAACTAACAATCAAAAGACCTGTTCAATAGCTGATCTATCATTTGGTTTTACGAAAAATCGAGAAGAGTCAGTCTGGAAAAATACCGCTGCCAGAAAACAAAAGATCTTTGAAACGATCTTTCGCAAAATTTTTAAGTGTGGTGAGTTAAAGAAGATCATTGCCAGACTGAAAGAGATCCCTAACTAATATTCCAAAGATGATAACTAACAGATCCCTGTTAGTTATAAGATTTTCTAATTTAAAGAGTCGTCGTTAATAATTTGAATTGCAAACGCATAAATCAGATCTAACTTAGTTTTGAGTAAATGTATATATTTGATATATATAAAATGTAAACAAGGCCTTGAATATAATAAAATTCACTTTACAAGTTTTCTTGCAGAAATTTGTTTACCAACTCGCTCAGTCACGTGTTAACCATTTTGCAAGTATCTGCAGTTCTTCAAAACTTGTCCTTGTAAAGCACCCAATAATCATTATCATTAAAAATCATTAATTAAATTAAATTAGTGTCAAATACAATTTAGTGTTTCATAAGTGATTTCAATAAATTAGCATAAATTGCAATCTTTGAAATATTTTGGCACAAATTTGAAACCGAAAATGCGTTTGAACTTGCAGAAAAGCTTATTAGCTTTTGCTCGCTTAAAGATACAAAATAAATTTATTTATTTAGTATTTCGGCAAAGCAAACTTAGAAAATAAAGTTGAATTATGAGGTCATCTAGTCAAGTTAGTAAAATCTGTTATTCGACAGATTTGCAAATACTTTAGTGCGAAACGCAGCATTCTTTAGGCGTCATAAGAAACGAAATTCTTTATGTGATTAGCACGGGCTTTGGAATTATCTTGTTTATTTATGTTTTCAATGCGATTTAGATAATGGCTAACTATTCTTAATCGGTCACACCTTTGAACAAATTGCCAATTTGGATTTAGTTCAAAATTTAACATAAATGAATATATTTTATATCTCACTTTCAAATTTATTCAAATAGATTTCTTGCAAAGAATATATCCATTTGCGATCACCGCTAATCAGTTGGTAGGCATGGTTGGGTTCCTGCTTTCAGGCATTATTTTTAATTTAATATCTTTTGAGATTTTGTTTTAAAACACATTTTTTTCCTGAACGTGATTAGAATGCGTCTGACCTTCTTTGTTTATATGACACCTGCTCTAGCGGATATTTTAACAGTTTTTTTTTCTTGGCTTCGTCGGTGATTGGCAGTCTTCATTGTTTATTGCTCTCAATAAAATGGGTTGGGTTTTAATAAACCAATTCTTTGTATTTCCCAAATCCGTAACTCATTTAAGTGCTTTGGACGGCATCAAAACTGATATGCTGCTTTCAAACAAATCTTGGCCAGAAGAGTTTGTTGTGACCACAAACTCTTTAAATTTCGGCTAATTGAACGCGTTGATCTATGGTTAAATTAACAGTTGCATGTATAATCTAATTAATGTTAAAATTATTTAATCACGAAAACTGTTAACATACCGAGAAGCGGATGTGAATAGATATAATTTTAATAAGCTTAGGAAAACAGTTCAATCTGATCTAATAAACTTACTGAGCATTTAATTAGATTTGTTTTAATTTGCAATTCAAAAGAATTAATTTTGCGAAAGAAAAATAAATTAATTTAATTAAATTGCAGATTTCCGTTGTAAAATTAGAATATTACTAGAATCTAATTCTGCATTTCACTGATTTTAAAACAGATTATGCAAAATACACCTAGTATGTACTATGTGTAATAATACATATGTATAATTCCAACTTTATATTGATTAAG